ACAATGTAAGGAAGCCGCCCGAACACATGACACTTTTAAGGATTCTCTGTTTACCTTACAATACAAATCTCACTCCACGTCTTCTACTCTGAGTTATATGGTTATCTTGATTACACGTTTTCATGAATTAATAAAGTCAAATGTTTGGAATCCTAAAATTTAGTCAAAGCAGAAGCTGGTAAAAAGTGGTACTCTTTAGGAAGACGAGACGAGTACGCAACGAGAATAGGTTTTTATCAAAAGTTTGAATATTTTAATTTTCAACTAGCAGTGTTTAGTTTTAAGAAAACTATTTTGTTTACAAACGGAAGTGTCAGTGTGAATTGTTAAAGTTAGTGAAGTAAACACTGGATATTTTATTAGACAGGATGTGCAAAAAAATGCACCAAGGTAGCTGAAGTTTGGTATATTAACTAATTCAAATACAATTAATTTAGATTCTTTAAAAACAATCAAACATAGTTTATTCGTTCGTCCAATTGTTAATATTACAGCTATAAGTTTTGACACTTTATTTTTTAATTTGCAAATCCGACTGTTAAAACACATGTCGTCTCGTACAACATGTTTAACGACACTTATCTTTTATACATTATATTTATTTACTTTCCGTGTAGATATTTCACAAGATTTGATTAAAATAATCCATATTACTAACCCTTTTTGTCTTAACACTCTAAAAACATAAGTCGTTGATGACTAGGCGCATTTCAAAACATATATGCCTACTCGTAGCTCCATTGATATAATAAAAAACATCATTCTAATGCACTAATGTAGACTTCTAAATTCAGGTAGACTAGTCAAATTAGAACATGAAAGTTTAACGTTACACTACCACGCATAAAACACATTAAACATTTTAGATACTCAGATACACTCAGGCTCTCAACGTTTTCGTTTGATTTCAATCTGACCATAAAATGTTTAGTTAACATCAACTTTCTCCATACAAAAGACAAAAGCCCTCAGAAGATGAACATTGTGGAAGATGTTGTTGGAAGAAGCATTGAACAGTAAACGCGTTGTCTTGGGCCGAGTTAAAGAGTAGTTATTATTCTTGCTCGTTTTGCCAGTTTCATTATTTGAATGTACATTTCATCTTCGTCACTTTCTACACTCAAAACACAAAATCACTTGTTCTATTGATGAACATAACGTAGGAGAGTTGATCAACGCGTTGTAGTAGTATGGGTGATGGTTGGGGGGGGAGGGGGGAGCTACAGTATTTATTCTTGGCCGACAATGACCAGTAAGTAGGGCCAATTCTAGTTTGACGTGTCTCCAACCCAACATTCCGCTAGGTCTCCGTCCTTGATATGCTTGTGGCCTCACTATTGTCTGCGATATGATTCATCCTCCCATGAAAATGTGTTTACTAAAAACTATCCAGTGTTCAATGATGTGGCGGTTACATTTAATCGGGGTTCTAATTTGTTTTGAGCATCTTTTCACTATGTGACAGTAAGTGCGTTGGTTTTTGGATACTTGTTGAAACGATGGTCAAAGGTTCGTGTATGCTGTTTTTATTGGTTTGAAAATTTCACGGTTCGTGGAAGTGCTATAAAGTTCTGGAAAAAAGTTCTGCCCTGTAAGGCATTACTATACTCCAGAAGGCACAGATCCGAAAAGAAGGCGGAGTTGAGTTCAGCCAAAAAATGTATTACTACACTCCAGAAGGCACAGTTCCGTAAAGAAGACGGAGTTGAGTTCTGCCCCGAAAGGCATTACTACACTCCAGAAGGCACAGTTCCGTAAAGAAGACGGAGTTGAGTTCTGCCCCGAAAGGCATTACTACACTCCAGAAGGCACAGTTCCGAAAAGAAGGCGGAGTTGAGTTCAGCCAAAAAATGCATTACTAAACTACGGAAGTACAGTTCCTAAAATATTTTTAAGGTTGAAACATAATATGATTTCTTTTGTTGTTTTAATAAACAATTTACTCAACTGCATGTTTCAATAAAAACAATATGGATTCTCATACAACTAGATCAAAACCGTACACAAAACAAATTAATCAATAACCCTTTCCTACTAGTATGATGAGGGAAGGGCTTTGTTTAGTTTGGTTACATTTGTACCAAAATATCAATAGATTTCTTAAATATTAGCAACAAAATCACTGAGTAGTACAGAATTGAATTGGTCAGTCTGGTAAACATGAATAGTTCAACTGTATTAAATATTTTATGGTTTTAAAACAACACTTATTCTTATTTTAAATAGTTTTTAAAGCATTTTAGTTGTCTATATACAATGCCGGGTATCTCAGTAACACCCTTTTTTCAGCAGTTTTGCTCAATACCTTTTTAAGATTGAGGTATCATTTTAAGGCTTGTGCTCTAGCGGTGGGAAGAATGGTAATTAATTGAAACGGTGATTTCATTTGGGGCTTCGTCTCCCTAGCATTTGATTTGTTTATTTACTTTCAAATATTTACTGATGCAGGCCAACTTTCTTTTTAACTGTTTAATTTTTAATGTAAACTAGAGGTTGTCCAGTGGTCGAATACTCGACCAAAAGTATATAATGTACAGACTTCTCTATTTTCGTCCCACACACTGTAAATAAAACATGTGATTGGAATCTTCCATTTTGTTTATTTTCTGTTTATATTTCGTCACCAATCCATTATGCCCATGTTAATTTTTAAAATTTAAATTAATTTTTGTGCTTATTTTTTAGTCTTTTTTAATTTATGAAGGGATTCTGCACATCTACAGGAAAATATCTTTCGAACAATATGCATAGATTTCTCTGCTATGTACATGAGCTGAGAAAGAAGGTTTTAAAGAAACACGCTTGCCTATAAATATATAGATGTGAATAGCTGATCCTTCATTTGGAATGTTTAACCACAGTCAGATTGTAAACAAAAGACCTAAGAGAGTATGAACGTCAAGAATTGCAGCTATGCTACTTACTTATAAACGTAACGAGATTAAAAAAGGTCAATTCTCTTTATAGTCTAAAACTATATATCTAAAAATAAAAGGAAATATTTGGTTGTAAATTAGTAGTTTTTCTCATAATTATCTATCTGTCTCAAACAAACCTTGAAAAGTAAAAGATCGTTGTATTATTTGTTTCTATTTTGTATATTTTTATTATATATTTATTTTATTTATTGTGTTATTATATTTCTATTAAAGTTGAGCCAATCAATGACACAACAACACAAAAATCTGTTATGGCTTCAGTAGGGTATTTTGATTGTAAATCGATGTAGAGTTTAAAAAAATGATAGAAAGAAAACAAGTTTGGGAAACTGCAGAAATGGTTTTTAAATTACCACAAATATTTAGCACTTATCGTCATATAGATTTTTTTGAAAAATATGTTTAAAACATGTGAATTCAAATCTAGGTTAGAAACTTAACATGTTTTTTTACATAAAAAAATGAGTAATTTTAATTCTTCTATTTATACCATTGTAAAGATGTAAAAATTCAAAATCTGCCTTGATGAAAATATACGATTTAAAGAATCTTACAATTCATATTACATTTTTCATTAACAATTTACATTATTCAATTTGTAATCCATATGTAATTTATTCGTCCATTTTTTAAATACAATCTATTCAGTAAGCATATTAATGTGGTATAAAAAAGCATTAAAAACTAATCCATTCGATTATTACAACGGGTAAAACCAAGAGATGAAATTTATCCTTTGCGGATTTACTTTTACAGCTGCGAATAAAATATCCTGTGCAAAGCAATCCAAATAACACGTTTTAAGAATATCCGTTGAAAAAGAGGCGATATCAGTTGTAAACTCGATACCCTTGCATCGCTTTCTGATATTTTATGAGACTTATCCCTTCACCAACTCCGGTAGAATTTCAACACTTGATACTGTTTAGAATATTTTTTATTTTCACGAAACTATTTGAAATTTAAATCAAATATACTATTTGGGTGCAATACGTTTAATAAAAATACATGGATGGATACAGAATCATTTCAAATTTTAGAAGGTGGAATAAAGGATTTATATCGGTGTAAAAGGTTATAGTTTTACAGGTAAAAATATAATCAGAGAATCTACATAAATTGACTTACTTTAGTTTATGAAAGATCAAATCGATTTTAATAATGATTTGTATAACGATATGGGCTATGTTATATGCAATTTGAATAAATACCATGATACGATGAGGATGCAACCTTATTATTCTGGATGATTATTCTCGTCTTAATGTACTCGTTCAAAAAAATAAGTTATTTTGAATTTGCTCCACAAACAGTGTCGTAAATTTCATACAATTTATACATCTTAACTTTTTTATTATTCATGTAGATGACATTTCTTTAGTTTCCACTATGTTTTTAAGTGTCAGTGCATAATTATACAGTAATGGGTAATGTCTAAGTAGAACGACTATGATCTTGGATATGAGCCTATATTTTTGTGCTTTAGCCCCCAGTAATAAGGAAAGTCTGGGTAGGCTGACTCTGATCTTGTGTTTCAGCATCTGTGTCGTGTGTTTCGACATCCAAATGTAAAAGAGTTGTCTGAGTAGACTGACACTGATCATGTATTTCAGCATGTTTCGTGTGTTTCAACATCCAAATGTAAAAGGGGTGTTCGAGTAGACTGACTCTGATTTTGTATTTCAGCATCTGTTTCGTGTGTTTCAGCATCCAAATGTAAAAGGGGTGTCTGAGTAGACTGACTCTTTTCTTGTCTTTCAGCATGTATTTCGTGTGTTTCAACATCCAAATGTAAAAGTGGTCTTCGAGTAGACTGACTCTGATGTTGTATTTCAGCATATGTTTAGTGTGTTTCAACATCCAAATGTAAAAGGGGTGTCTGAGTAGACTGACTTTGGTCTTGTATTTCAGCATCTATTTCGTGTGTTTCGACATCCAAATGTAAAAGGGGTGTTCGAGTAGACTGACTCTGTTCTTGTATTTCAGCATCTGTTTCGTGTGTTTCAACATCCAAATGTAAAAGTGGTGTTTGAGTAGACTGACACTGATCTTGTTTTTCAGTGGCAGCACGTTCGAAGGCCAGTGGCAGAACGGCAAGAGGCACGGGCTCGGCGTGGAGTCGCGGGGTCGGTGGTTGTACCGGGGCGAGTGGACGCAGGGGTTCAAAGGTCGATACGGAGTCCGGCAAAGCAACACCTCCAACGCCAAGTATGAAGGCACCTGGGCCAACGGACTCCAGGACGGCTATGGATCTGAGACCTATGCGGATGGCGGTGAGTGAATTGAAACATTTGTTGAACATTATATTTTATGGTGTGAGAAAACGACAAAAGATTCGTTCATTATTTGCGTTCAGTGCACTAAAATTAGGGTTTTTAAAATTGAAGGTTTATCATTACAGTTCATCTTTGTACTGCACTGACACTTTTCTTGATGCGTTCCACGCCTTTATTTGCAGTTTTAATCTGTCCTGATATTAATAAATATCGAAAGTACAGAGTTTTTGGTTGTTGTCTTTCTATTTAAGTAGATTATTTTACGTCGCTAACACACCAGATCGTGTATTTTAAGGTGGAGACCAATAGACAGATCTGCGAACACCCAAAATGTCAAACAATAATTAATTACCAATCGAGATTAGTTGTTCAAACTCGTACTATACAGCACACTTTGTTCTACGCAATTACCTAAGGTAAGAGATATGCTGGTTCTAATCTGGGCCTTGACTTAGTAGAGATGACCACTGAGTCGCTTATCAGTCAACAGGCCACACTAGGATTTGCGTAATGGCATGATGTTTTCTTATTACAGTATTCACTACATTTTAAACAAACGAGATCCTAGTCCTCACGACGGTGCTGTTTTAACCTACTAGTTTAAAAAAATCTAACGCCAATCTGGTGCTATTTCTAGATATAACAATAGATAATTTAAATTACCAATTATCCAGGCTGTAGTAACACTAAAACGGCTAAAACATTCGCCATTATCGTATGTTTCGAATTAGTTTCTTAAACTTTATTTTCAAAGCTATACAACTAACTTTGATTTCTACATTAAAAATAAATAAATTGCAAACAGATTATTTGCTCATCAGTTCAATTACATTATTGCTTAACAGATTGTGAGGAATGGCCAAACTCTATTGTTCTGCAGAAATAATCATTCTTAGAACTCATCGAGGTCGGTTTGGCCACACAGTCTTGCCACTGCCAACATAGTAGCTTACACTTGTTATTGTAACAACTATTTATTGTCTAGGATACATAGTTGTCTAGGATACATAGTCGTCTAGGTCACGTTTTCACGTAGTTGTCTAGGATACGTAGTTGTCTAGGATACACAGTTGTCTAGGATACACAGTTGTCTAGGATACACAGTTGTCTAGGATACACAGTTGTCTAGGATACACAGTTGTCTAGGATACACAGTTGTCTAGGATACACAGTTGTCTAGGATACACAGTTGTCTAGGATACACAGTTGTCTAGGATACACAGTTGTCTACGATACACAGTTAATTGTCTAGGATAAATAAATTATATGTCTTATATCTTTTGTTTTTTAAGGTTCAATGTCAAGTCAATCGTTTTCCAAACTAGAAACCTTTTTGCCAAATATAAATACGAATGAAATCAAATACGTATTCAAATATTTCTCAATATATTTACAAATGCAGTAAAATTATGCATTCGTTCTTGGTTTTCTTCCAAACTTTTTTTAACGCAACTGAAATAAAGTGTTTTATAATCCAATACACATTTTATTTTCGCTTACTAGGTTAGTTCAGGATAGAAAATTAATTTGTATAAAACTATAGTTTTGTAATCATTTTTCATACCATCAATTAAATTGTTAAAATGAAATGCATTATTACCCTTGGACAAAAGTATTTCTGAATCATCACTTATCATTTTTAACGTCATAGAAATTATCAACCAATCAACGTTAAAATACAAAGAACAAACGATCCCATTGGAGGTAGTCTGGATTTAAACGTTTTATCAGTGCTAGGATCTCTTAGATGTCACCACGTCACCTAACCATTGGGATTTAAAGGTCAGAGAATTGAGTGATTGATTTTAGCATGGGAGCATTGTGCTTCAAACTTTCGACTACGACAGTTATTTAACTCTTCAAAATAATGTGTCGCCGTTTCTTATTTTGTACCTTCCTTATGTTTTGTTTCAATACCGTAACGAATTATTTTAATCTATTAAACCCTTTTTTCTCAGCTCGTGTGCATCGCAGGAAAAATCTACGCATACAGTTAGAAATATATTTTCCTGTAGATGTGCAGAATCCCTTTATAAATTAAAATAGGCTCAAAAATAAGCACAACAAATTTTAACTTTTGAAATGAACATGGGCCTTATGGGTTGACATGCTAGTGACGAAATTTAAACAGAAAATCTAAACAAATGGAAGAAATTCCAATCACATGTTGTATTTACAGCGTGGGGCGAAACATAGAGAAGTTTGTTTTTGGTCGAGTTATGACTTCTTCGTGAGTTTTGTAAGATTGATTTTACGTTAGTCATAATTTGAATTAGACTGGGACGGGTGGCGTCGTCCTGTAATCCAGCTACTAGGAGGTCACGAATTGTGGATATTTATAGGGATGCACTGTGGATGTGATGCTCCCTGGTGTGGATTAACGTCCGCACTAGTGAGTACTACGACTATCCGCAGTACTATCCTGATAATTAGACCAATTCGTATATACCAAGGAAAAAATGTGGTTCGGATTCCACTATAAACTGTAGGTCCCTTAGTTGCCATTAGCTGTTTGGGCTATTAATTAACAGCTGTGTCTAAGGAATGTCGGCCTTAGTCACTAACAAGACTACAAGATCGCGCCACTCATCCTACACTCATCTCCATTCATACTTGGCTTAAAATACCTACATAGTATGGTCGCCATTTCATAAGAAAGTATAAAGTATAAAGTATTAGTTGAATACTTGTATTTTAGCAGTGTATTGACGTGTCTTACTTCTGTGTGGGTTAATCTGTGATCGAATGTTTTCATAAGAACCTTTTACAGGAATTTTCGGGTACTGTGCTACTTTCGCTTTAAATTTATGATGTTTGGATCACACAAAAACAATATTTTGCATTTTTATGAAGATATATTTCTCGTGTATTTTATAAAATTTCTGTCTTATTTGCAGTCAAGACAGGATAAAAATTTATTTAGATTTAAAATTGATTTCAAAATGTATATATTGAATGTGTTTGTTGGTGTAAAATGTTACCATCGCTCAGAATTTAAATAGTAGTGAACTCAAAATAAATAAATAATAACCCAGTCATTCTTCCGCCCCCTTATTTTTACGTTGTACATCGACGAATAGTAGGCCTAATACTCTGCTACTTACTATGTTGAGTTTATTTTCTTACCAGATTATAGTAGTCAGAATAGTAAACACAGTCGAAGATGTAGGTGCAACTATAGTCGACGAATCAACATTATATTCTATTTCGTGCATGATGCAGTTTTCAGGTCCTATTATAGCAAATTAATACGTTTGGAAATAAAATTATACAAATTTTGAAACCATTTATTTCTGGCAATCTATTTGACAAATCTACCATCGGATGTATTAACATTTAATTAATACATTAATGAACTGTATAAGTAAACATAGTGTGTACATTTTTCGATAAAATAAAACTTTTCACGATTTATGTTCAATTACCAATTATTATATTATATTCTGGTTTATACTTTCATCGTTGAATTTATCAAATGTTTCTCTCCCAAATAAAATTTGTCATTGCATCGCACTATCCAATCTATTTACTCAAATTCCTTTGCGATCTTGTTTTCAACTAATTGCAAATCCACTCTGTTGACTATTTGGTCAGCGTAGCACGTGGGTTTCGACAGATCACGAGATTAGAGTTTGGATTATGAAAACAAACAAGTTGAGTAAGGAAAGTAATGTCTGAGTATCGATCGGGCAAGTCCATTGCTACTGTACTACCCGGCCTGTACCATCAAGCTACAGAGCCACCTCGCACGTAGTGATGTTGACTTCAAAATAGACAATATACAATCCTACTAATATTATAAATGAGAAAGTTTGGATGTATGTTTGTGACACGTAAACGCAAAAACATACTGGTCGGATTGGGCTGAAATTTGGCATGATGATAGCTCACATTCCCGATTAACATATAGGCATATTATCTCAAAAATCCTTTCGGGCTCCACCCCAGTGGCTCTGTAATTCCCCATGTTAAATTTATGAGTATCCATTTGGGAATTAAAGTATTTAGCCAGCTGTTTCAAACTAAAATAGTTGGTTCTATGATATGCAAAAGCATTAAAAAAATAATAGTTATTTTTTCCATTATTTATAAAAACAGCTAATTTGAACTTAGCAGCAACAAAAAACTGTGATACGCAATGAGAACTGTCAAAGTAGGATTGTTTACTGTTATGTTTATGTTTTTAATTTCATGAATAATTTGTGATATTTTGCGAATTTTTAATAATCAATCTTTCTCTATTGTGTAGTTGAAGTGGTAGAACATTATGGCTATGGCAGTGGCAGAATACTATATCATACCATAAATTTGAGGAAGCAAATTTTCTCAAACCGTATTTTATCACATTGCAAATGCAAATATCGAGTATAACTGCAATAAGCATTTTATACTTATTTGCCAACCCTGTACGAAAAACGGGTACTCTCTTCCCGTTGCAAAACACGGGTACAAGAGCTAGTACTGTACTTATATAATCGAACACTAAATGTCTAACAACATCATTAAATCGGAAAATGCTCTACTCGAACACAAGCTTTCTAGGAAACACAAACAATAAACAAATTCTTCAACTAGACAATAGGCTAAACAATGTCTACAAAAATTATCACAAAAAACTGTCTTAAGGAATTAATTTAAATACAATCAATTACCCATCAGTTCTCTAAATACATACAATGTTGAAAACAATCGATTGAGAAATCGGCTTAATGGAGTGTAAACCACAATCAATTAACTTTAACTCTTTAAGTACACACAATACCTAAAACAATAATCGGATAGATAAATTAGCAACAGCGTTCGAAAAAATAAATATAATCAATTTTTAAATTACATAGATTGTCTGAAAACAAACATAGAATTGGAATCAAGAAGGGATAAGTGAAAAAAGTCGGGTAACTACGACAAATTTTGTAAATACATACAAATTTCACAAAAATCGAATCTGAAAATTTTGTAAAGGAATCCAGTGAACCCTAATAAGTTTACTGTAGTGA